GAGGCTTGATCAGACCACTGTCTTGCCTCCATTCTGCGTGTCTCCTGTCTCTTTCTCTCTTGGTCTCTCTCTCTCTCTTTTCACCAGCAGCAGGTAGTCCTCCTCGTGCCCACGTTTTACTTGTCCCGCTGGTCGGGACAACTATGCCTGGCCTATCAATGTTTTAAAACTCAGATCGAAGTCATGGAATTAGAATCACGATGTGGCATACTTAGTGTAGAACAAAATGGGACTAATTACCTTTAACTGATTGCTTGCTGCAATCATATTAAGGGAGAAAAGTAGAGCAGCACAAAAATCAGTAGATGTTAGTGATTCCTCCTGCAAAAGTTAATGGGTTTCTTGCCACTCTATGCAACTGTACTGGTACAAAGCTGAATGGTGCTCAGCTCCTCTCCTCGGGCCTTAGAAGCTCATGGTGTGACTTAGTTAGTTCTGCTTGTCTATCAAGCAATAAACATGTTAGGGCAAGCCCCAGTCTCCTAGTTCTGGGAATCAGGCCTAGGAAGAGAATGACTGAGGACAGGCTGCCTAGGAGAGATACTTGAATAAGTTATAAAATGAAGTTATAAAATAACTTTTATACTTGAATAAGTTATAAAATGAAGGTCCTGATCTCCCAGACAGGAGAGCAGTTGAGCACCCTTGTGTCTCCTCCCTGACCGAAGAGAGGGAGGAATTAGGCCAGATTACTCTGCTTCCCAGCTTAGCTCAGTACAAATTTCCTTAAGCAGTGTGGCAGGGGAGGGAGTGTTGTAAGTAACTGAAGAAAAAAACTCAAACTTAGGAGTTTCCACATGATAGGCTTTATCACAGACTAAGAAAACAAGAAGGGGTAACTTAAAAGTGTAACATGGGTAGGAGAAGATTGTCCTTTTCCCTCTTCAGCAAAGTGAGGAGAGAAGACAGCCTAAACCATAGGGAGCTTGGTAGGATAATGGGTTTTAGCCTAGTACAAGTGATAGGAGGAAGACAGCATCACATGAAGGAAAACACCAGAGTGAGCAAATGGTTGATTCGTGTCACAGAAACAACACTGTGGAGGAGACACAGCCAAGATACAGAGACAAAAGCCTGAGATTTGGTGGATACAGCAAGAAGATCCTAGCTCTAGTGACTGGGGAAGGGCAGTGAATTAGAATAACATCTATTCCGTAACTGTTTTTGTTGTTAACTGTGTCTTTTCAATTCTTGCTTCTCTGAATTAATGGGCCCTGATAAAGTGAGATTACACAGAATACAAAGCAAAATGTTAGAAGTGCCCAAAGAAAATATAAGTGCTAGAGAAAGAGATTATGCTTTAAAAGAGGAAGAGAGGGGGCCGGGCACAGTGGCTCACATCTATAATCCCAGCACTTTGGGAAGCCTAGGTGAGAGGATTTCCTGAGCGCATGGGTTCAAGCCTGGGCAACCTGGCAAGACATCATCTCTGCAAAATAAATAAAAAAATCAGCCAGGTGTGGTGGTGCATGCCTGTAGTTCCAGCTACTTGGAAGACTGAGGCAGAAGGATCACCTGAGCCCAAAAGGTCAAGGCTGCAGTGGCCATGAGTATGCCACTGTACTCCAACCTGGGCAACAGAGTAAGACTTCAGCTCAAAAAAAAAAGAGGAAGAGAGAGCATCAGCCTGAAGACCAGGAAAAGATTCTATTCAGGTAGTGAGATATGGACTTGAAAGGATGTAAAAGATTTAAAAGATAGTTTTCTACTTAGGGAACACCCTCCTGGATATGGGCTTAGGCAATGAATTCATGGCCAAATCCTCAGAAGCAAATGCAACAAAATCTAAAATTGACAGGCGGGACCTTATTAAGCTAAAAAGTTTTACACAGTAAAAGAAACCATCAAGAGAGTAAAGAGACAACCCACATAATGGAAAAAAATATATTTGCAAACTATGCATCCAACAAAGGCCTAACATCCAGGAACTATAAAGAACTCAAACAAATTGACAGGGGAAAAAACTGATAATAACCCCTTTTAAAAAGCTGATAATAATCCCTTTAAAAAGTGGGCAAAGGACATGAACAAACACCTCTCAAAGGAAGACATACAAGCAGACAACAAACATATGAAGAAAGGCTTGGCTTCACTGATCATCAGAAAAATGCAAATCAAAACTACAATGAGATACTACCTCACACCAGTTAGGATGGCTATCATTAAAAAGTAAAATAGTAGGCCAGGTTCGGTAGGTTAGCCTGTAATCCCAGTGCTTTGGGAGGCCGAGGTGAGTGGATTGCCTGAGCCCACGGGTTCGAGACCCGCCCAGGCAACTTGGTAAGACCTCATCTCTACAATAAATCAAAAATTAGCCGGGCATGGTAGCACATGCCTGTAATTCCTGCTACTTGGAAGGCTGAGGCGGAAGGATCGCCAGAGCCCAGCAAGTCGAGGCTGCTGGTGGTCGGCAGCGTGCCACTGCACTCCAGTCTGGGTGACAGAGTGAGACTCCAACTCAGAAAAAAAA